AATATAAAAAATAAAATAAAATATAATAAAATAAAATATAAAATAATATAATATAATATAATATAATATAATATAATATAATATAATATAATATAATATAATAAAATAAAATATGATATAATAGCGCATTAAAGTTTTGATGATCTTCATTATATTTGATATGATGTGTGACGTGGCCAACAGAGTGCAGTTTTATGCTTCAAGGTGTCTCTGAGTGCACTTGTGTGAGTCTTTGTGTCATATTTATGTCATATGATAGACTCAACATCACATGAGGAACAAGTGCAGCGTCACATGAGCGCCGCCGCTTCTGTCAGGAACTGCACGAGTGCGGACAGGACGTTTTATGGGGATGTTAGCCTAAACCTCTGTAATAAATTCCAACATCAACTGTATATAATATATAAAATAAAAGTCACCTGTGGAGGTAGGTTGGAGGGCTGAAGCATAGATGGCGGGCTGCGGGCACCGTAGCGCCGGCCGTGGTGAGGCATGTTAGGCAAAGTCTGAGATGGCGACCCGCCCTGCAGGGGTCTGTGTGGAGGGGGTGGTCCTGGCAGACGCATGCCTGGGTACCAGGTCCACTGATTGGGCGAGTGATGGCGGCTGTTGTGCTGAGAGAGTTTCTCCACCTGCATCTGGAGCTGGGCCAGTGTGCTCTGCCTCTGCTGCTGTTGCTGCTGCTGGAGGGTCTCCGCTCGGGGCCCCGGGTTCATCTGCTGGAAGGGGAACGGCTGGGGGCCACTGGGATGACGGACTGGAGTTTTCTCCACGACTAAGGAGCCTGACGAAACATTCAAAGGTGATGTTTAACAGATTTTCACTGTATTTGCTATGATATATTCTTCTTCTACAGAAAGTCTTACTTCTTTTAAAATGTATAAGGTCAATATTAATATCCTAATTAAAGAGCACTTTAAGCTGCATACTAGTATCTTGCAAAATAACTAGTAAATTATTAAATACTGTCATCATGAAAAACACTAAAGAAAGCAATTATTAGAAACAAGTTATTCAAATGATTGTGTTTATAAATGTGGTTAAAAATTTATCCATTAAACAGCACTTGGCAAATAAATAAATAAATAAATAAATGAATGAATAAATGAATAAATAAATAAATAAATAAATAAAATATGAATAAATAAAAATATATAATAAATAAAATAAATAAATGAATAAAAAATGAATAAATAAAAAATGAATAAATAATTAATTAATGAATGAATAAATAACTGAATGAATGGATAAATAAATAAATAAATAAATGAATAAAACAATGAATAAATAAAAAATGAATTATTAATGAATGAATGAAGAATGAATGAATAAATAAATGAATGAATGGATAAAAAAATAACTGAATGAATAAATAAATAAATAAATGAAAAAATGAATAAACAAATAAATGAATGAATGAAGAATGAATAAATGAATAAATAAATGAATAACTGAATGAACAGATAAATAAATGAATGAATAAATAAATAAATGATGAACAAATAAGTAAATTTATAAATGAACGAATAAATTAATAGATAAATGAATGAATAAATAATTGAATGAATAAATAAACAAATCAATAAATGAATAAATAAAAGAATGAATGGATGAATAAACAAATTAATGAATAAATAAAATAATAAATAAATGAATGTAAATGAATGAATAAATAAACAAATGAATGATTGAATGAATGAATAAATAAATAAATAAATAAACAAACGAACGAACGAACGAATGAATGAATAAATGAATGGATGATTGAATAAATAAATAAACAAATGAATGAATGAATAAAATAATAAATGAGTGAATGAATAAATAAACAAATGAATGAATGAATGAATAAACAAATGAATGAATAAATAAAATAATAAATGAATGAATGAATTGTAAGAATCCAAAATATCAGACCACGAGAACTGTTATGGAATTTCATGAGACAAGATGCAATGTTCCAATGCATGTTCTAATCTGAGAAGTGATGAAGAAACCAACTGTTCCACTGTTCTATTCAAATCACTGTTGACAATGCAATCACAGGCTGGAGAAACAGAGCTACTCTACAGCAGGGGGTAATGCAAAGAAGTCACCCATCTCCTTCCACTTAAACCCCCCTTCTTGACCCTTATGTCACCTTCTGATTAGAGCACATTTCACATAAAATGTTCAAGGTTTTAATATGGTGTATCTTGCAGCACTATATTCATGTTTGGTATCATTTTAAATGTCTCTGTGTGATTGGTAAAGTGGTCTTAATTTTACAGTAATATTTCACTGGCATATGTTGGTTTGGTTTTTGACTTCTATAAGATCTTGATAAGATGCTCTCCCTCCTCAGAGATGGTTAAGTCCTCAAATACACCAGGCCAGGGTTTCTGTGACACTTCTATTGTCTTGAATTTATGGCTGTTTGTTTTCGATATTGAGTATATAAGGTAAGATGTGCTTTAGGACGGGGGGAGATCTTGTAAAAAGACACCCCACTGCAGCATCTCTGAGACTTATGCTGCAATGTATTTCTCTGGTCAGGTATGCATCTATAACTCTTTGATTTGTCTTTGATTAATGGATGTTATATTGTTAGTCTCATCTCTGAATTGGCTTCCTGAGGATTTATTATGTAATTGGCAGAATACAATTTTACCTGACAAATAAAATGTTAGGTTTTGATTAATTCTGGAGTTTTGCAATTTCATTGTATCCAGTAGATTAGAGGAGTCTTCATTACCTTTATTGTGGCATAATTGAATTGATTAATAGGCGCATTTGATTATTGTTAGCCATAGCGTGCCGATAACATGTAGACCTGTTAATCATTTAACCACTGGAAGTAGCAAGTTGTATGGGCTTGGCTAAGGATCTGTTTTTTTAAGACTAGGTAAGCGTTAATGCGACCAGCTTATTCAAATATAGTTAATCCTGCATCCTCTGACTATTTTCAGAGTGTCCACATATTGTCCGCGAGAAGATGCACAAACCCGGGGCGTGGAACTCTGAGCGATGTTGGTCCCTAATGAACGTACAATTAGAATATCGGACCTCAGAAAATATCAAAACTCTAAATTAAATCATAAATGATGAATGTGATCCGTTCTTACAATTAGAAATACAATCTAAATTTTAGGATCATTGAAATTGGAGTCAGATTGAATTCGGAGCTAAAAAACGAATATAAATAAATTCTAATAAATAATAAAATTCTTTTCAGAAGCACTAGAAAAGGCTTACATGCATTAAACCTTCGACCATGCTGTTAGTTTCGTCATTGGGCTAATAGATGGACTTCTACAGAATAAATAAAATTAATGAATGAATGAATGATTTAATGAATAAATAAACAAATGAATGAATGAATAAAATAATAAATTAATGAATTATTAAACAAACAAATAAATGAATGAATGAATGAATGATTGAATGAATGAATAAATAAACGAATGAATGAATAAAATAATAAATGAAAGAATGAATAAATAAATGAATGAATGAATGAATAAATGAATAAATAAATGAATAACTGAATGAACAAATAAATAAATGAATGAATGAATAAATAAATTAATAAATGAATGATGAACAAATAAGTAAATTAATAAATGAACGAATAAATAAATGAATTAATAATTAAATGAATGAATAAATGAATGAATACATGATTGAATGAATGAATAAATAAACAAATGAATGAATGAATAAATGAATAAAAGAATGAATGAATGAACAAATTAATGAATTAATGAAAAAATAAACGATTGAATGATTGAATGAATAAATAAATAAACAAATGAATGAATGAATAAATTAATGAATAAATTAATGAATAAATGAATAAATAAATAAATGAATGAAGAATAAATAAATGAATAAATAAATGAATGAATAAATGATTGAATGAATAAATAAATAAATGAATGAATGAATTAATAAACAAATGAATGAATGAATAAATGAATAAAAGAATGAATGAATGAATGAATGAACAAATTAATGAATTAATGAAAAAATAACCGATTGAATGATTGAATGAATAAATAAATAAACGAATGAATGAATGAATAAATGAATAAATTAATGAATAAATTAATGAATAAATAAATGAATAAATGAATAAATAAATGAATGAATGAAGAATAAATAAATGAATAAATAAATGAATGAATAAATGATTGAATGAATAAATAAATAAAAGCATGAATGAATGAATGAATTAATAAACAAATGAATGAATGAATGAATGAATGAATAAATAAATAAAATAATAAATGAATGACTTGACTTAATATTCATTTATTATTCACAACAGAAACACTGCATTGAATGGACACGACTTGTTTCTGCAAGTGTCTTACCCAGATCCACGTTTGAGGCCCAAAAGGCAGAGCGACACTGGAAGCGCACCAAGCTCTGGGGAACATAGGAGATGTTGCACTTTGCTCTCATGAGGTACTGAATTTGGCATGTAATCTGAGAGAGAAAGAAGACGCAGAACGCTGTGATACAGATTTATTTACTAGTGCTCATTATTGTCAGTTACACAATCAAAACAACTCAGATTCACCCATATTTATTTATGTTTGTATATAAACACGAAGATGTATTGATGTGCACTTATAAAGACTCTTACCAGTCTCTTACAGTACAGGAGGGCTGTTCCACTGTTACTGGCTGTGGCCCACTTTGTGAAGTTGATCACATGATCCAGATGTGTGGAGAGCGACGTCACATCCTGCTGTTGTTTTTTCAGGAGGATTTCATGGTCTTTTGTGATGGCCTAAACAAACATGTCGAACGTAAACATGTCAGAACGAGACATTGGACACAAACTCACACTGGACATCAAATGGCAGCCTAACAGCTGAGGCACAGTTCTAGACCAAAACATCACCATGAGCTTTGCTGTACTTGAAGGCACAGTATGTAATTTTCTACACTAGAGGGTGTGTGTTCACAACAAACAAAGGTGTATTTTGATGATGGAAAATAGACAAAAAGATTAATAAATGAATAAATAAATGAATACAAATAAATAAAATAGATAGATAAACTAATAAATGAAAACATACAAACAGATAGTTAAATAAATAAACAAATGAATAAATAAATGAATAAATAAAACCGATAAATGAACACAGATATATATATATATATATATATATATATATATATATATATATATATATATATATATATATATATATATATATATATATATATATATATATATATATATATATATATATATATATATATAT